TAATCAGTAATTAAATTATCCCGCATTAAAATATTCTATAACCACCAAATAATTTATTCAGTGGTTAATAAATTAAGATTTCTTTTCGCGAGTCTTACTCGCTTGATTCTATGCCCAAACAAATCTTGTTTATATAGGAATCTAGAAAGAGTTGTACATGAAAAGAACTAAGAAATTAGTTCCTTCTCTACCAAGTATTTAGTAATTATTAATAAATAATTTTGGCCAAAAAATCTCCGGTTAATCAATAATTAGATTCTCCCGCATTAAAATATTCTATAACCACCAAATAATTCATGCAATGGTTAATAAATTAAGATTTCTTTTCGTGAGTCTTACTTGCTTAAATTATTTGATTATGACGGATACAAAATCCACCTAACTAGGACTTGGTATAAGCAAAACTCATAAACTACTCAAAAATTATTTAGCAATCCCATATTTCAGAGATGTGGATTTGTTCCGATAATTAATTTCCACCCATTAATTCATAAGGTCAATACCTATCACTACGGGGATCACTTGACTCAATATAGAAATATCATTCATTGTGACATCAAAATATATATCATCAATAAATGTGTACATTGGTTACTTAGGGATTAGTTGGATTAGCTGAGTACGTAATTTGCTGCCGACTAGAAATAATACAGTTTCGTTTGAAAAAGTGATGAAACAATTATTTCACGTCATCCGGTACAACAGATGGCGATTGGGCTACTACAAAAAGCCAAAACAACTAACTACCAAAGTCATTCTCTGGTTACATTACTGTACTAAAGACATATTACTTAAGTATTGTGTAATACTCCATTTTGATGTATTAACTTTATATTTTAAACGAGCTATCAAAATAATCTTATGTGTACTACATCCAAATCAACACACTATTTAGGGCTTGTTAGGTGACCTATATCGGATTGGTTTGAGTGATATGAGATTGAATTAATTTTCTACTAACTAGTTAATTATTTAGTTAGTTAATTATTAAGTTAGTAAGATGTTCACTTTATATCTAATTTGTCTATAAAAAAATTATTTAATAAAATTAGTAATTTGAAGGTTAAAATAGACTTTTACTTGTCCATCAACCCCTATTAAATTAATCTCAGTGAGAGGGGTGCTACTAATTTAATGAAATAATAACATTTAATAGCGGATTTTGATTTTACTAGCAGGTTTGAAGAAGTATGAATCTTGTCAACCGGACGTGTTGCTAGCCCCTATTATTTACTTAGTAGAACATTAAGCGGTAACCTAGCGATCCCCTAGAATACTATTAGACTAATATACTCCTGCAATTAATTAAATGCAGTGAATGACGTAATGCAGATTCTCATAAAATTATAATATACTATTTTATTAGATTATTAATAAAATTATGTAACTAAAATAAGAATTTTAGTCTACTATCCCAACACTTTTCAATTCTTTGCCGCAACAATTACAAGAAACACCTCTCTCAAAAAAAAAAAAAAATTACAAGAGATGTAGCACCCTCAATGATTTAAAAGAAATTTTAGAAAACACGGACTTTATTAAAAACTTTTGGAACAAATTTGAACTTTGAGAAAAACCACTTTAAAATTTTAGAACCATTTTCCCTTTACTTCAAATCTAACCCACAATCGGAAAATAAGATTTTTCAGAGAGTGTACCATAACATGAACGGGATTTTGAAAGTAATCTTGAGGTGGCGGAATAATCTACATAAAATATTACCGGGGTTTAGAAAACACTCGTAAGACAGCGGAAAGAAATAAACTTTATTTAAGATAACCCCGTTTAATAGACTGGGTTCCCGAATCAGAGTACAAAAATTAAGAATCGATATCTTGGCTAGATATTTTAGAAATCGTTGACGTGGTAAAAATCTGAGTAAAACAGTCAAGGCATCAAGGCTAGCGATTCCTCGAACTCCACTCCGCCGGCCTCCTAAATAGCTTGGAGAACCTGAAAAGATAATTTGCATAAAAGCATGAGCCCAAACACTGGCTCAGTAAGGACATTAGTCTTAGTCTGACGAACTCACGCCTCTCTCACCGTATCACTCACGACCTATGGGAGTCCTAAAGTCCCTGTCTATGTTATTTTCTGTCTAAGGCTTTTACGTCATAATTGTATTATGCTATAGTATTTCATCGACGCGTTAATCACGACATATAATCACGCCACCAATAATTAAACATATAACTTCACACATGAGCACATAATAAAAGTTTGGTTTAGCTTTGAAAGCCATTTGAAATTCACTTAGAAAATCATGTGCGGATTCGTTTTCCTTTAGAAATCATTTCTTAGTTCATTTTGGAACTTGTCTTGTACAAAATATCCCTTTCCACGAAATTCCCCTTTTTTTAGAACGAAAACCCCTTTTTAAAACTCTTTTTAAAATCATTTTTCTTTCAAAATCTTTCGTATGCAAGTATGCACATGTTGGGATCCCTAACGTAAGCATCGGCAATAGACGTTTATATGCTGAGCCCGGTCATTCGGTGGGAGCTAACCACCCTGTTGTTCTATAGTAACTGTTGTTGGGATACCGGCCCCCCGTATCCCGTGTCTATTCAACCGTAGCAACGTTACAATTTTGACTCTTCTATAGTAGACCGTGCAATACCAATTAATGACTCGATGAATGCACGCAAGTCAAAGATCTTAATAGCAACACGAGAATAATTCCAATTATATCATTCACGTAATTCGAAGGAATTAAATCACATAATTCGGAAGTAATTTCCGAGGATATAGTAAGCACATATAGATTAAACATTAGTAATAAAGACACATATACTTTTACACGTATATACACGTAGGCACTTATCCGTATTTATATACTTATACATATACGTATATACTCTAATTTATAACTATGGGTTACAAGTTTCCTCAACCCGAGGGGAGTACGCCTATAACATCATAGATCTAAACTATCGATATACATATGCATATACTTATATATATACATACTTACACCTCACAAGAGTAAACCACATAATTCAAATACACATAATGAAATCACACTTCTTGATTAAGGAACCATCGGAAATCTAATTCATTATAAGTACTAGCACATAGTAATTTCGAAGAACAACCTATTGTTCTAATCATAGATTAGTCTAAGCATATGTCTTAGATGTAGCTCAATACTCATAGGTAACTTCATCTATGATCAATTATTATGTTAAGTTATGCCTCAAGAGTTTAAACCATGCTCACAAAGGACCCTTTGATTCAAGTAGTTTACTTTTTAGGAAAATCGGACAGTTTTGACACTTTTAACTTTAAAAATACATTTCTCTTAGACCATAACTTCGAAAATTCTAAAACTTTAACAAAATACTCCTGTGTCAGTGGAAAAGACTCATTTAAAACAGTTTTCCAAAATAACCAGTAGCCTAAGAGAAATAAGTAAAACAGTACAGTAGTATGGTCACACTTTCAGAAACAGAACCAACCACTTTAAAAATATCCAATAAATCACCATTTTGTTAAAACACTGTAAAACTTTGCAGAAAACTGTTTTTATAAGGTATAAATATATTCCAAGTGGAATCAAGGAAATCAAATTAGGAAAACATCGATTTTAAAAGCAAATTCTCAGCTGACTCAAAAACTGTACAGGTTTAGTAAATAATTCATATCTTAATCATCCGAAATCCGTTTGATGATTAAAATATATCAAATTAAAGATAACAGAAAGATCTCGTTACCCATAAACTTTCGTGATTTTAAGAAAACAGGGCATCTATGAAACATGCAGTAAACTCCGAGACTGAAAACCTGAAAATTCGTTAGTGATCTATATCTACATCTTTGATCAAAGCAGATCTGGCAGTTTAGGCACTATGACTTCAGAAATTCATATCTCCTAAACCTTAGATCCAAACCTGATGATATTTGGAACTCATGTTCATATCTAAGTCTAGTTTATATGGTTAAAACAGTTTATGAAGAAACTTAACCATGTAAGAGATATACTCAATTTAGTGCAGTAACACAAGCAGAATTTCAGAACAGATCCACTAACTTTAAAAATACCAATTAATTTATACCTTTACTTAAACACTACCAAATTTTGTGTAAAGTCAGTTTCTTAAGTTTATAATCATATTTAAGTGGAATCAACTCAATAAGATTAGTATAAAACGCTATATAATACATAATTCGTGGATGACTCCGAAACTGTGCAGATTCAGAAAACGATTCATAACTTACTCAATATAAATCCGATTTATGCATAATTTATATCAACATGAAGCTAAACGAAATATCTAGACTACCATCAAATTTCATAATTTTATCAAAAGTATTACCCGATGAGACATGCAATACAATCAGAAGCTACGAAACTGAAATTCAAGTAGTGTTCATCAAGAACTTTATCTTCTAAAGCCCAAAATTAAACCACAAACATATAATTCATTAAAACCCATATAATTTATATTAATTAGGTTATTATTTCAGTAAAGACCAAGGTCCTTACCCAAGATCAAGAAATCGAAGATGGAGTAACAAAACCAAAGGCACAAGAATATACAAATTTCCTCTAACTCACTCTCCCAAATCCCAAATCCCAAATCACGTTTCACTCTCATTCCCAAATTTTCAATTCAATCTCCATTCTTGCTCGAACCCATACTAAAATCGAATTCATAAACCCATAAAAAATCAAAACATTCTCACATTTGAAGAGTTTTTCCCTTCTCAAAGAACAGCAGATTCACGTGCAAAAAAAATTAGAGGAAGCTTTAATTCTTCTCCCAACTCCGTCTCTAGAACGTTGGGGTCTTGTGATTTTTCACCTGCTGATGCTTGTACCCCTTGTGGTCTCGATGAAGCGAGCACAAGGATGGTGAAGATGGCACAAATTCTACCCAATTCAGCAGTTTCAGAACCTGCCCAAAAGATGTTCGACAAAATGTCTGAACCAATTCCGGAAAAAAAAAACATGCAGCACTTGTCAAAGCTGCATATAATTCTTTTTTTGCCAAGAATAGAGTGCCCAAGAACGGATTCCAGCTCCCCGACGTCCCCAACGAAGTGGAAGAATACATGATTTTTCAGCCCGAAGATGAAAGTAAAATCGATGAAACATTCGGCATTTGTTTATTGGGCTATTTTGCTGGTAAAACACCACGAAAAATGGCCATGGATTCACAAACGATTCTGCTATTTCGAATTTCACCTCAATTGAAGGTTTCGAAATGGGGTTTTAGGGATTGGATTTACGGGTTCATTGGGGATATGGAGAATTAGGGATTTTAGAATAGAAATAGGGGAGGAGAATGACGTGTCGCTCCACATCACGTTTTGTCGACCAAGTAGGCACTGGGTGTTGTACAACTCGACATTTAACGGCCACATAGACGTCACGTGAGCCACGTGTGCTATTTCCGTCGAAGTTAGCTGCCGACGTTAACGGCAGAACATAAAGTGATCAAAAGTGGCAAGTTTGAGGACATATTTCGTGGATTGAAATGTTTGAGGACATAAATCGTTTTAGTGGTAAAGTTTAGGGACATAAACTGTAATTTTCCCTATGGGCAACGTAGTCATGAAGTAATGCTGCTGATGAAGCTTCTCTGCTTCACCCTTCAAAACTTTCAACTTAAGATGTACTTTTTGATAAAAGCTCTAAGGTTCTTCGCTTGGATTATAGGAAATTTGTATATATATAGACAAATTTGTGCTCCATAAGCCTAGCTTGAACTTACAGAAATTAGTTATAAGGAATACAATCATGTATGATCTCTATAAGCTAATTAAATAAGGATAAATCATTTTACAATCTTTTCTATTATGTAATAAATAATAAGAAAATAAATAAAGTCTTATACAGTAAAATCTATAGGACATATGAATTAAATAATTTTCTTATCAATGACATGAAATAAGATCGATGACAGTCTTTATAATAAAACCACAGATTTCTTCAAATATTTATTAACCGAAATCTGGTGCCAACACTAAAAATCTTCTTCAGAAAATCATTTTCTGCTTATTTTGTATATTTCTTAAAAATGATTCAACTGTTGCTCAGAATCTAAATTTCAATTGTTACGTTCATAGTATTTACTTTGTCATGTTTTAATGTATTTTTTAAATATTGAATATCTAAAAGATAATATGAATAACAGCACAAGTTAACTTTATGTGAGGTTAGTTATTAACTAACTTAATGTATATTATTATTAATATTTATTTCACATAATAACACCAAAAAATTACTATGAAATACTATGTGACAGAATCACTTCTGACAATCTTATTTCAATTTGTTTTGTCAACTTTTATACGTTATTATTTTAATTGAACTGATTGAACTGCCCTGTTATCTTTAAGTTTTTCTTGTAGGGATACTTCCGGCCTACCTAGCGCTAAGGATCTTAATTGGATTTCCTTCCTTATGTGTTCTTCTAATCATTAAATTTCGAACAAGGCATTTGTCAATGTTTGGCCCAATAGAAAGATTCTTGCAAAGTAACAAAAATCTCACAACAATTCGATACTCTTACTCAGACGTAAGAAAAATGACAAGAGGTTTTCGTGAAAAACTAGGCGAAGGGGGTTATGGTTCGGTTTACAAAGGAAAACTCCGCAGCGGTCATGACGTGGCCGTCAAAGTACTCAACAAGCCTAGAGCAAATGGGCAAGATTTCATAAATGAAGTTGCAACCATTGGAATGATCCATCATGTTAATGTGGTTAAACTTGTCGGATATTGTGCAGAAAGATCCAAACGTGCCCTTGTCTATGACTTTATGCCTAACGGCTCCCTTGAGAAGTACTTATTTAGTAAAGAGACGAGAAATTCGCTTAGCTTGGAAAGGAAGTTTGAGATTGCCGTTGGAGTTGCTCGTGGAATTGAATATTTGCACAAAGGATGTAACATCCAAATTCTACATTTCGACATAAAGCCTCATAACATACTTCTAGATGATAATTTCACACCCAAAATCTCGGATTTCGGACTCGCGAAGTTTTATTCTACGGAGAATACCACGGTGACTCTCACTGCAGTTAGGGGAACAATAGGGTATGTGGCTCCTGAACTGATGAATAGAAGCATTGGAAGTGTGTCTTCCAGGGCCGATGTTTATAGCTTTGGAATGTTGTTGATGGAAATGTTGGGCCTAAATAGAGGTACGGGGCCTAATAATGAGAACAAATCGAGCCAATATTTCCCATATTGGATTTATGATCACTTGAATGAACGCAACGACATCGAAATTGGAAATGCCGACAAAAATGACTATGATGATGACGATGAGGACGACAATGCAAGAAAAATGAGGAGAAAGATGACAATAGTTGGGTTGTGGTGCATACAAATGAAGCCAAGTGATCGTCCGTCAATGAGCGATGTTTTAAAAATGCTCCAAGGGGAAATCGAGAATTTGCAAATTCCACCTCAGCCTTCCCAATCACATGATATTGAATACTTCAACGATCAAAATTGGGAGACAGAGTCAACTGGTTCCATGGCCTTGTTGTGTAATGATTCTTTAACTGGTCATTGAGAGTGGTAAGTAAGGATTATAAATTAGTATGTTGTGCAATGAATTGACATTTGCTAAGACTAATGGGATAATAGCAATAATACTTTGAATTATTCCTCAAATATTTTATCTAATGTTATTTTATTATGAAGTAATGATTTCCTTTTCTGCTATTTTTTGTAGGATCGACATGAATATGTATGAATTGTCATCTTCCAACAATTCAATATGACCAATATCTTCAGTTAAAATAGAGAGTAGCCAAATATAGGGTTTATTCCTCTCAAACAAATTTGGGCTTTATTGTACTATGTACTTCTGTTTTTACTCTAATTGTTAAAAAAATCATCATATTTGTTATAGAATAAATTATATTGTAAATATGTGTGTGATAATGGATTAGTGTGTGTACTCTGAATTTTCAGAATATCAAACTTGGTAATACAGTAGAAGAAAGAGAGGATAATTCGGCTGAAGGAATCATTACATTTTTCATTCATATGTTGCGGATATATATACACAAAGTTTAAAAGTTTTGTCATGCAATGACTAGGGATTCGTATAGAATATGTGATTATTAATTCCTAAATCCCTTCAATTATGCAAGTTATTAAATCGGATTACTAACCTCAGATGCTAAATTAATCATAACAAGCTTCCGTGTGTATTACGATTTTAATACTCTAGATTCAATTACTGTATTCCTACGTAATTAATTCTAGAACACAACATGAAGCACAAATCTCAATAATTGCTACGTGAGAGATTAACTATATTCCTATGTTAATACCACAAAGTCTCTTCTACCGCATTTCTAATTATTCACCCGATCTTCCGATTTATGCGACTAATAATAACACAAGAGCACATAAACTGATCAAGTTAATGCACTTAATAAATAAGTAGAAGAAATAATCCGGAATTAAACCTTTCATAAAATCATGGAAAATGGTTCATAAATCCCACATAGGTTCCGAAATAAAATCCTAGAAATAAAAGAATTAGATACTCATGATTAAAGTAAAAACAAAATTAAAATAAATCATAGAATATATAACTATGCTTGGAGTCTTCGAATTCTTCGTCTTTGTTATTGCTTCTTCGCTCTTGAAATTGCTTAAAAAAAATCTTTACTTGTGTGCTTGAATTGGTATTTTATAGGATGGGAAAGTTGGAGAAACAGACAGTCTCCTTGTGGAATTAGAATTCCCTTACTGTGCCTCTACGCCTTCTCGGACGGCCGCCTGGATTTTCAGTTATAATTCCGGACGGCCGTCTCGATTCCAGAGACTTTATTCTTCCAATGAGAATATTCGGACAGCCGTCCGAAATCCAAGTGTATTTCTCGGACGTCCGTCTGGGCTCTTGTCCTTCAGACTTTTGACTTTTTCACTTTTCGCCCACTTTTTCTTCTAAATTGCAACTTTGACCCTCTATTCATTTAGTTCTGCAATTTGTGCCTGAAACACAATAGATCAACACTTTAAGCACCAATTATCAATAAAATACACCAAAATCCAATCAAAAGATATAATTAAGTGTAAAAATATACACTTAACAACCCCCAAACTTGAACTTTTGTTTGTCCTCAAGCAAAATCTACTCATAAGCAAATAACTCAACTAGTGCATCTCATTACATAGATTAGTGACCAACTTCACGTTTTCAGAACTTGTAATTATAATGAAAATTCTTAGGCATTCGCAAGCACAAAATTCAAAAGCACTTAGTCACTTACCATTGCCCAAAACCACAAATCATGCAATTGCTTCAAGCATCCAATATTTGTAAATTAAAAATAGAAAACATTTATGCTTACATACATATGCTTGACTCCAACTACTTACCAAATTTTTCTACTCTACAAATAGCGAATATGAAGCTATTGGGATCGTTGAGGATTTTTGGCTTTCAATTGTTAAGGCTCTTTGGTTCGAGGTAGGAAATATGGGTATAAGTGGCTATTCTTCTTGAATTGAGGTGATTACGCCAAAATTTTAAAGATAGGCGTTTGAAACAATGTATTCACCTCTTAAGGACTTTAATGAACTCGATTCTCAAGAGTTCAAAAGTCGATTACTTTTGATCTTAAGAAAATGGATCGAGCTTTCAAAAACAATTCAACAACTAGTCCTTTTTTTTCTTCTAGTCTCTTCTTCTTCTTTTCTTTTTTTTTTCCTTTTTTTTTATACTTTTTTTTTTACCAAACACCAAGGGTTAATTTTTCAAGAATCTCCATCTATTCTACCTTATCAAGTAATGGCTACAAGAAAGAACACCGTTTCTACAAAGCTCAAATTAAGGTTCTAAGTATAATTTCGATAAAAAGGTCGGCTTGAAAGGCTCAAACGGTTCAAAGAAGGCTCAAATAATATCCCAAATCACTCACTACTCAATATTTCGTATAGTAAATTTCCTAAGGTGAGTTCTAAAAACGACATAGCATGATCTAACATAACTTAATTCCAAATTTAAACTACGAACGTTCAAAAAAAGCAATGCATTAAGTGTGATTCCTAGCAATAATTCATTTCTAAGTTCCGTTGAATCGAAAGCTAAACAAACATCTAATCCCTATCACAATAAAATAAGCAATTTCATCATCAAACATTGATCATCTCTCATCATCATAACTCACCGATGCATTCGACTAATGCATATTTTTTTTAAACGATAAAAGCAATAAACAAAAATATCTAAACCAAAAACCTAAGGCATGCAAACTAAATTAAATAAACACAAAACCCTGTTTTTTCACCCCCAAACTTAAAATTTTCGTTGCCCTCAACAAAATTAGAATAAAGATCAAGGATATAAAACACCTGACTAGTCGGAATCGATGTAATCAGGGTGATCCTCCCTATCTCTCTCATGCTCCTCATCATCGGAAAGCTCGGGTACGGGCTCAAGAATTGGTGCCGGTGATGGCCCCAACTCTACACAATTGGGCGTCCCACATCCCAAGTGTCGTACGATGGCTTGTCGCAACTTTCTCGACCATCGTTGGAGTGCCTCCACCGTGTTGACTTTATGCTCGACGGTAGAAAACCGGTTCCTCGTGAGTATCATCTCTCGCTCCATCATTTTCCCGGAATCGTCGATCGGCACCTGAGCTTGAGGATTTTTGGTCGTTTCTCGCTTGAGGTTGAGGAGCGGCTTCAAATTCGGCCAAGTCTTGTGGCTCGTCATGGATTGCTTCGTTCAATTGCGAGGCCGCAAAATCGGCAATTGGCTTCCGGATGTTGAGTTCTATGTCATTCGGTTACTTGGGGACTTTCTCTTTTTTACACAACCTCGTAATGAGGCTAGGGAAGAAGATTCCCTATGAGTTTTTATGCATTGTCCGCCATAGTTGATCGTAAATAATGAAATCGACATTGACCGGCTTCCCCGTGATGATGTAATATGCAAGAGCACATCGTTCGTGGTTGATTTGACTAAAAGAGGTAGTCGGATTCTTGATTAAGGTTGGAAAAGTGTGGTAGGGTGATCGTCAAGGCTATTTCCGTGATGACATTCTTCTTCATTTGTTTGTCGAATAAGGCGACGACTCCCTCAACACTAAAAGCTTCTTTGTCGGGTTGGGGAACCAACGTTTCCTTGGTGGATCCTTTCTTTCATCTCCCTTTTTTCGAAGAAGATGCTTCGCCCGTGCAGCCTCTCTTGTTGGAATACATGATTGGAAAGATTTGAAGAGATGTGGTGAGTATTGGATGAGAATCGAACCCCCAAACTAACAATTTATCGAACACCTTGTGGGAGTGCCTTGAAGCATTAGATTGTGGAGAATTTGGATCAACTCTCTAGCCTCCCTGTCAATACCAACACAATAAAAGATTTAGAGAATTTGTGATTGAGTTTTGTGTGTGAAATTTGTGAATTTGGAAGGGAAATTCGATATTTTTTTTTTATTTTTTATTTTTGGAGCGTGGGTGATTGAGAGAGAAGTAGGAGAAGGTTTTGGGAAATAATGAAAAAAATTGGATTTTCTTCCCCTTCTAAAACGCCCAAATTTCGTATCAGACGACCGTCTCGAAAATGGAACTAGTTTTCGGACGGCCGTCTCAAAAGCTGTAGGTGGGTTTTCAGTTCTGCGCTTTCGGATGGCTGTCTGGAAAAGTAAGCTATATTTCGGACGGCCGTCTCAAAAGTCGTAGATTTATTTTCGGACTCTGGATTTCCGACGACTGTCCGAGATTTTGAACTAAAATTCGGACGGCCATCTTAAATGTAGTGCTGCTAAGTCTGGCCCTTATGTTTCCTAGACGGCCGTCCATGCTTTTGCTTGGAATTTCGGACGGCCGTCTGGAGCCCCTGATTTCAAAAAATTAAATTAATTAGGACGCATACCCATAAAGATAAAAATAAAAAATAAAATTAAATAAAAATACGAAAAGCAATAAAGCTCGGGTTGCCTCCCGAGAAGAGCTAAGTTTAGAGTCTTTAGCCGGACTTTGCTTCTTTATTTTAAATTGAAACGACCGAAGTCAGTGGACCATCTTCACTATCTCCCTAATAAGGCTTTAACCGGCTTCTTTTCACTTTGAACGTGCGATCCGAATCTCGCTCATTTATCTTGACTACTTCGCGAGGAAGAATTTCTTGGACGATCAACGGTTCCGGCCACTTTGGTTTGTGCTTTCTTCGCAATAACCGAAAACGAGACTTGCACAATGGCACCAATTGTCCTTCGTGAAATTTTTGTTTGATTATATCCTTACGACCCCAATAGCTTGCATAGGCCTTCTCTCGTGGCTTTTTTGGCTCTTTGGGTGGCAACATCCATTTCCTCGCATTCTCATTACCGTCAACATCCCAAATCTTATGACTATCTCTCAGAGGAGTTGAGATTGAGTCCACAAAACAAACTTCATCCTTCCCACTCTCGTTGCCGCCATCATCTCCTGCACTCAAAGATGTTTCTCAATGGTCTAAGATCAAAACATCACAATTTTCAAGATTTGCAAAATCCATAATATCAATAGCAAAACAAGCATTATTATCACCTGGATTTTTATTAG